AGAATAACTGCTTTATTTTTGTTTCAGAAAGGGCTAATAATTCACCAAATTTGTTCTTTGTTCCTTCTCCTTCCATTTATACAAGACTGCTACTGCCTAGACACTTCAGCTCATGCCCACCCTCACCCCAGAGACAGGGCCAGGTGATTAGTTCTCACAGATAGAATTAGTTCTCATGAAAGAATGTGTAAATGTGTATGGCTTTGGAGAGATGGAAGCTAAAAAACAAGTGTGCATCCTTCATCCTGTTTTCCCACCTGCTAATTGGATGCAGAGAATTCTAAGGGTTTAGCAGACAGAAAAATCACAAGGTAGAAGAAGGCTGGGTCCGAGAATCACATGAAGAAAATGGATGCTTATACCATGTCTTATTTTTTTTTCCTTCTAAGAGATTAAAAAAAAAACATGATTATGTTCAGCCTCTGAAATTGAGAGGTTTCATCAGCTAAAGTTATTCAAGTCAATACCCTGAGTACGGCGTTGCTGTGAAAATACCTCAAATATGTGGCATTAGATTAGTGAGCAGGAAATAGGCATTGAGGAAACAACTAGCTGATGCTGGAAAGATGGAACAGTGGTTAACATGTTTTCTTAATATAAGATATACTACTTTCAATAACTTGGAAAACAGACCAAGTGTCTACAAGCTTGTAGTTCTCATTTAGGGACTACTTTCCCTCTTGGGGGACATTTAGCAATATCTGGGGACATTTTTTGTCATAACCAGAGTAGGGAGGAGGTGGTAGGTAGAGGCGAGGGATGTTTCTAAAAACCCTGCAATGCATAGTATACACCTGCCAAATGATGCTGAGGTTATGAGGCCCTGCTCTAGAGGAAGTGGCTGGAGAGAACTAGAAAATTAACGTGACTTGTTCCTTGCTGTGGTTAACCATTATAACAAAAAAAATGAGTTCAGAGAATAGTCGACTAAATGCAGAAATAAAAGGGCTTAAGGACAACCCAGAAAGTTAGGAGGTTCTGTAGGTTTCAAAAACAGTTTCGACTAGACTGTGAACAGTAGAAAGGAAATAAGACTGACAAAGCAAAGCCCTAACAAGACTTCTCAGTTGGCTCGGTGCCTGTAGCTCAAGTGGTTAAGGCTCCAGCCACATACACCTAACGTGGTGGGTTCGAATCCAGCCCGGGCCCACCAAACAACAATGATGGCTACAACCAAAAAATTGCTGGGCGTTGTGTCGGGCACCTGTGGTCCCAGCTACTTGGGAGGCTGAGATAGGAGACTCACTTGAGCCCAGGAGTTGGAGGTTGCTGTGAGCTGTGATGCCACGGCACTCTATCCAGGGGGACAGCTTGAGGCTCTGTCTCAAAAAAAAAAAAGACTTCTCAGTTAAACATTCATCTCCACAGCTAAGAGCAGATTAAGGGTTTTACTTTCCCAACTACATTTATCTTTTAACATGGTCTATTGAACATTGAACCAATGTCTATGAAAAAATCCTGAAAACTATAAAGCACCAGGAAAATATGAGTTCTTTTTTTTTTTTTTTTTTGAGCCTTAAGCTGTCCCCTTGGGTAGAGTGCCATGGCTTCACTGCTCACAGCAACCTCCAACTCCTGGGCTCAAGCGAGTCTCCTGCCTCAGCCAATATGAGTTATTTTCAAGGCCAACTCAATCTTTACCACTTCAACTCTTCATATCAGAACTATTATACCTACTTATGTCACTCATATTACATTCCTTCAGCATGTAGTACTTAATTCACACTGTTTCCTCTTTGTACTTTAGTAGATCTCTTGAATGCAGATAGTCTTCGGCATGTATCCCATACATGGCCTAGAGCCTGCCTTACAAGTGTATAATTAATGTTAAAATACGTATTTACTGAGTATGTATTACTTTACAAAGCATTGATCCCATGGTCCTTGATCTCTAGATGCTCATGTTCCAGTATTAAGAGACACAACCGTGAAAATGACTTCACAATATGACAATTTTCATAGAATCTGAGGCGCTACAGATAATCATTTTCACATTAGGCGTCAGTGGGAAAGCAACTGCTACCTTTTGGACATCCTTCCACCTCAGCTTCTACTTGCACAAAAGTGCATACAACTAGTTATTGTGGAAAGTTGCTGTTGCCTTATATAGGGAAAAAAAGATAGATAGCACTTTTAAAGACAATAGTCAGTCTTAAGTTTGAATAATAATCTTTTTAGGATTTTAGGGGTTTAAACATAAGAAATTAAATTTTAGACTGGAGTAGCCACAAAGGGACCAAAAAAAGAAACCGCTACAGCTGCCCATCAGAAGGAACGGCTAGAAGAGCATATGTATGCCAGGCAAAGCTACATAAGAAGCGACATAGACAGGAAAATAATTACTTATCTTGCTACTTAAGACCAAAGTAGCTTAGTTTTACATAGGCAGCAGTTAAATAATTATTTGAAATCTTTGGCCCATGTAGGTGGCTCTGACATGAGTAAAATGCTAATGGAAAGTTCACTATACATGGGAAGCAAACTAACAATTGAAATTTCACTTCCAGACTTAAATCTTGCTTCTCAATTGAAGATATAAAGCATGGGTCCAGACAGGATGTCTGGATCACACGCAGGTAATGGAAGTGGATCAAGTCATTCAGAAGCAGTAAAAATCAAGACCACCACAAAGCTTAAAATGCAGAGTGTATGCAGCATAGAAGCGAGTAAAGGAACAGATAAGCCAAATCAATCTTGATGGTTTCTTTACATACATTATGTTGGCTGTTTTACACGAGCATACAATTGAACCAGATGGTTGTTTTTATAAAAAAAAATTATGTTGTTTTCTACCTTGATTGCAAGATGCTCAAGGACAAGAACTTCTTCCCCAACTTTTATATGCGACAGTCTTAGGTATATAGTAAAGCTCAAAAATTTTTTTTGATTCACTGTATTTAAGCAAGACAAAGAATTCCACTCTCCACACTACTATACCCCCAGCACCTGAAGCAGAAATTTCCAGAAAAAGCAACTTTCTAATTTCTCCCTCTGGTAAATCTACTCACAGAATTCTTGGCTATTTTAAGTGTAAGAAACATGACGTTGTTCCGCTGGTTAAGTATCTTGTGTAAAAGCATATCGATAAGAAAAATCCTGGAAAGACAGGTAAGAGAACACGAGCCTATGAATCTTTTAATGGAGAAATATACCAAACACAGTCTCCAATGAAGCACTGATGAATAGGAATTGAGAGCTAAGGATTAATGACTTTGGGGACAGACTATAACCAAACAGCTTTTGGCACTGTCTGCTACAACTACTGACCAAGTGCATTTAACTTGGCACTGACTTTTTAAACATTCCATAGGTGAGAAAGAGTAAAGGTAGAGATCTCATCTAAGGCTGAGAAGCCACAAACTAATAAGCCCACGAGTAGGATGCTGAAATGGACAAAAGCACAAAACACACTTCATTGCAGGCCACATTTCCTTTTTTTTTTCTTACCCTCTAAAGTTCCCACAACCAATATTTGAACTGCCACTCTTTTCCCCATATGGTCTCATTTAGAGGCTTATTTTTTTCTTCTTTTGATCTCTATATAGCATTGAGTGTGTACATGCTCCTATGCTTTTGGTTGTAGTAGTTTCCACTATCTTTGGCCTAGCAAGACTTCCATGTTGGTACTCTGCTGTGCCAACTCTTCAATTTTCTTTGAGACTGCCTCTTAAGAGAAATGTCTGCATGAACTGTTCAATTTCTCAATGCTGGGTTTTAAACTGTTGAAGTGAGAAAGGATTCTGAGCATGGCCAACTGGAAATTACAAAACAGATAATTCAAGTCAAATACCTGGACTTAAACTCTTAACTATAGCAATTAAGAGTATTTTTGCAATTGTATTTAGCAATTAAGAGTATTTTTGCCTAATTCATAATTAGAAGATTAAATGACATAGGAACACTGCTTAGAATACAAAATATCTTTCAGTAATTGACAGCTTTTATAATTAAGAATGGAAGAGTCCAAAATAGAACTGCTAACCTACCAGTGTTGGCAGATTTCAGAGAAAAGTAAAGAGCTTTTCACACCTCTCACCAGCTAGAGAAAAAGTCACAAGATTCACACCCAAGGCCACAAAACAGTGAACCTTTTTTACTAGATAAAAGTTTAAAACCACACAGCTTTGAACAGTAATGTTAATTTTACCACTAGGTGGCAATGATACAGCTGCATTTTCACTGACGTGATTAATTTTACAACAGTGAGAATTTCCAAGCTTCTTAGTACATATTTTTACATTAGAAAAATTCTTCTATATACAGTTTAATTTATAGCAGGATGTGTAATTATCTGATTCAATATGTATATTAACTTCTGATGCTTTTCCCCCACTCTACAATGACACAATTTATGCAATAAACACAATTTTTAAACACCTTTATCACAAGTCTTATGAAAAATCTAGACATATATCTATATATCTCATGAAGATAACAGAATTTATGGAAAGCTAAAAATCCTTTAAAGTTAATTCTAAAAAAGGCACAATAAAATGTTAAGTATTTCAATGAAAAAGTTAAACCTTTTAAAAATGTAAATAATGATTCTAATTATTTTTCTTAATTTTAGGCCAAAATATGAAATGTTATTTAAACATTTTGCCTATAAATTACAAATTAATCAATATTAATATATGCAGTCTCTTCCATAAACACTCAGTTTATTAAGAAATGTATCAAAATTCGGACAGATTAAATTTTAGAATAATTAATACCTTTTTATAAATGTCAAAATAACAACAGTGAAATTCCTCAGTGTCTGGCACTTTCCATAATTATTTCTGCTTTCTTCATAAAATAGGATACAAACATAATAACATTCAAAATAATAAAATCTTCATTGTTTTCATTCCTTATTTTCTTTTCAAATACAAGGGCTAGGTATAATAAATTTTTCAAATTACAGATAACATTTCCAAGCATGCAGTAAAAAACTAACATGAAAACTAAAAATACCCCCCAAACCCAAAAAAACTTATTACATTTCAAATTCCCACATGTAATATTACATAACCTATAATTACATGAATAAATAATGAATCTATATTGTTATTCAATTCATAACATAATTTAAAAAGCAAATTAAAATAAGCCTTTTTATTTCCTGTCCCTCTAAATTTCCCAATTTTTAATTCCATTTCCTACAAATGAATTGATCACAATGTTCCTTTTATATATCAGCTTTCCAATAGTTTGTCGCTCATTCAGCAATCATTTCCTTTATTTATTTCATTTCCAGAATAATTTTCTCCTCTTTGAACCCACACAAGTATGTTTCTAAATTATTTTTCTAATTCATAGATTATTGCCCCATCATTACTGAATTTCATTTTTTAATTTATATCATTCTGACATCTAACAATATAGATCTTTCTTATCCTGTCAGCTTATACAAATATACAGAACAATCATTTAAGATGGTTAGCATAAGAAAAAGATTACTATGACAGCCCTCATAAATCAAGCAAGAGATTTTGGGAAAGTGCTCAATCTGGTAACTTCAACATTTGCTAGAAAACATAAGGAATGCCACTGCTATAAAATGAGTAATTGCAGATTTACAAATTGAATACATGGGTACACATAAATTATATCTATGTGGACTCAGCTTCTGATCAGCTGCACAAAGGGACAAAAGACACAGATGATGAAAACATAATCCTAAAACCCTTCAGATTAATTTTTTTATCTATTTCATAGGATGTGTGAAAAGGAAGTAGAGAAAATTAAGCCATATTGCAATCACTAGGACAATGATAAAACTGAAATGCCATTATTGACTTGAGTTTGTCATCTTCTGTTTATTTCTGATGGTAGCTCTAAGTTTACGTATTACCAGTCTGTCAGGTAGAATCATATCACCTTGTTGTTCTAGATAATCTAGTAAATTTTCAGTCCATTGGAGAGCAGCTGCATGATTAATATGTTTCTCTGGAATCAGTTCTATTTCCTCCTCCTCATTTTCACTGGATTCATCTGTCTGGCCTTGTGCTCTTCTAATGATTTCGCTGTCAGTTAACACTTCATAGCCTGGTTCAGTACTGTCTACTTCAAGCCATTTTTCAATGTTCTCAGTAGTAACATTTTCTAATCCTTTGGTGTGTTGTAAAATGGTGGCCACAGTAGCAACTGAAATATCTTCTTCATCAAAGTCCAAGCTTTCTTTCTCTTCTATTATAGGGAGAATCTTCTTCCATGCTCTGCTAATAGTAACTGGTTTTACTAAGTTCCATGCCACTGCTATTTCATAAAGTGCATCCAAGAGAGTTAACTTCTTCCAGAATGATTTCAAGTCATTACCTTCTTCCAAGTTATTCTGAAGAAGACCTGCACGATAGTTTCTCTTCATCATTGCTATGACTCCCTGATCCGAGGGCTGAATCAATGAAGCCACATTAGGTGGCAAATATTTAGCAAATATTTGTCCATCATCTGACCTCAAGACATTTTCATTTGGATGTGTTGGTGAATTATCCAACAAGAGCACAGCCTTTTCTTGCAAACCTTTGGATCTTAAGTACTCCCGAACTTGTGGCACAAAAATCTTATCAAACCATTGCCGGAAAATGGAAAGATCCATCCATGCACCTTTTTGGCTGAAATAAGACACCGGCAGGTTTAAGGTATCAGTTGACTTAAAGGAGCGAGGTTTCTTTGCTTTCCCCACAACACAAAGTTTAAGTTTGTGTAAACCTGTCGCATTGGCACAACACATGACAGTGACTCTTTCTTCAATTAATTTGTACCCAGGGACAGTGCATTTACCTTTGAGTAATGAAGTCCTAGAAGGTAGACATTTCCAAAAGAGCCCAGTTTCATCTGCATTGTAGATTTGTTCAGGCTGTAAATTCTCTTGTTCAATAAAATCTCGAAAATTTTTACAAAAATCTTCCACAGCAGTCTCATCTCCATTTAATCTTTCATTTCTAATATTAATCTCTCGAATGCTATGTCGCTGCTTAAAACGGGTTAACCAACCAGCAGAGGGGTTAAAATCACCATCCATACCCAAAGCATAAAAGAAGAACTCTGCTCTTTTAGCACAAATTGGTCCAGATATGGGATTCCCTTTGGCTCTTTGCTGGTTGAACCACTCCAACATAGCTCTATCCAGTTCCTCATACATGGATGGCTTCATAGATTTCCTCTTGGCCAGAAGACTTGTGGAATCAGAACTGCTTGCATAAGTTATAATTTTTTCCTTATTTTTTCTTATATCTCGAACTGTTGTTTCACCAATTCCATAAATCACTGCCAGTTGTTTAGAAGAACCTCCATCCTCAAGTTTCTTTATTATGTCAAGCTTATCTTTAATAGTCAACACCACACGCTTCCGTTTCCCTGACATAGTGAGGCTCTGGGACTTAACCCACACTCTAGCAATTCACAAAATCTTTTCTCTTACGTACTTACTTTAACAAGAGTCTTACACAGTCTTTCAACCTTACCAGCAAGTTTGTGGCTCTAACTCCCTCCCAGAATGGGCTTGGCTGGCAAAATGATTGCAGAGCAAGGTGGAAGAGGAGGAAGTTTGAAAGAACAGGCCTTTAACTTACACGGGCAGTGGAGGAGGCCCCAAGTCACCGCGGATAATCCGGATTACAGACATGTGTTTTGTTACCCCAGTCACCGCGAGGAAGACTATAACCCCCTCTGGCCACAAACCTCCCGCACGCCCCGATCACGGGTACGCGCCGGCCACTAACCCTGCCACACCTCAAAGTTACGGCGAAGAGCGGAAGAGTCCGGGAGTCAGGGACCGGCCCCCCCCAGGGGAACGGTTACGTTTGAGTCCTTCGCCAGCAGCTAGGCCCGCCCGGCAGCCCCACTTCCTCACGAGAAGTTCAGCTTGGACAGTCCTCCCCCGCGCCGGGCCCTTCTTCCCACCTCGGCAACCACCAGAACCCCGGGCTGCTCGCTCCCTGACTACCGCGCCGCAGCCGCTCCTCCCCTAGCCACGCTCCCGGAAGACGTTCCCTCCCGCCTCCTGGTCCCGCCCTCGCCCGGCCCAGAGGCGGGACTTCCCCTGGTCCCCGGAAGGGGGAGGAGCGACGCCTGCCTGGAGCTGGCGCCCTGGGCGGAGGCGGAGGCGGAGGCAGAGGCGGCGGAGCTTTGAAAGGTGAGAGCGCGAGGGCGGTGCGGGGCTGGCTCTCGGCGGGAACTCGCTCCTGCTACTGCCCGAAGCGGTTTATTAGAGAGGCGGGAAAGCCGCGCCTCCTGGCGGGCCGAGAGAAAGTCCCCGCGGGCGCTTTCGGAGCGGGCTGAGCGGCGCCCCGCGGCCTTCCTCTGCTGACCCTCCTCCCGCACCGAGCTGAGGTGGGCGCGGCGCCTCTCTTTTCCGCTCTCGTGAGGTGCTCGGAATTGTTGCTCCGAGCTTGTCGCTCATTTCTGGCCTTTCCAGACCCATGTTTATTTTCTGCGTGCAAAACCCTTCGGGGGCCTGAGGGCTTCTGTTGCCCTGCGCACGTCATGGCGGGGCTCTGTTAGAGGGTCCGGTTTCCTAGCTACCGTGCCCTCCCTCCTGGAGACCGAGGGACGGCGGGGACCGGCTGCGGGCTGCGCCGAGCGCTGCGTCCCGCCTAAGAATCAGGTTTGTAATTGAAAATCGCCCTCTCGGGTGTTAACTCCCAAGAGGATCTGTCCCTCCGTCTGCCTCTCATCCCTACAGGATTGGGCGAACCACCTTGGTTATTACAGATTTTAATGAATAACATAGTTGTTTCGGATGACAACCTGGCAGGAATCGCTTTGTGAAATTGTGGCGTATTGGACCATGATTCTAAGTGGGAGAGATTGGCTTCCCTTTCTTTCTTAACTATTTCTGTGATGTTGTGCTGTCCTCTTTTCCAGCCAATGTAAGGACTATAACTAATTACGGCAGTATAAGAACTTATTCAGCATCGTATATGATAGCTCTCAAGTCGTGTACTATGCTGGCTTGTTTCTGGTGCCCCCAGTAACTTCATCAGATTGTGAGCTCCTTGGGAGCAGAGACTGTGTTGTTTACTTCGTCTAGTAACACCCGCCCCTGGCCTTTTGGTAGACATTCAATAGCTATTTGTTTGGTTTATTAAGTTTCTCTGTCCAACTTGCCATATAAAAGAAAACATCAAGGAGGGGTGATAATCTATAAATAGGAATGCATCCCTTCTTGTGGAATTTCAAATAATGGCCCAGAGAGCCACTGCCTAAGAGTGTCAACTGCTCCTGCATTCCTTATACAGGCAAGTAGGTGATTTCTAAGTTGAATCTTTTCCCGAGTATGAATTCACTTCAGAGTTTAGAAAAAGGATATTTCTTTAGATGAGAAACTCAAATTTCATCATCAAAGTACCTTTTGGATATGGAGTTACTGTGTTAGAGAAAAAACAATATGGATTATTTTTTGGCAGACAGCATAGATGTGTATGTGTTTCTTAAATAATTATTAACTACGAAGTACAAAGTAATAGTATTGATCGTCTTCATTAACTTATTTAATGCTTTCTGTTTGGAGTGTCTTTGTTTTTCTCTTTTTCCTAAAGGTAAGGTATCATTACAGAAGCTTGATAAAATTCTCATTTTGAGAAACTGAGTGTATATTCAACATATAATGAAGTTACATCCATTTGCATGGATTCTTTTTTGACTGAATTCTAAAGACCAAGAGATGTCTAAACCATCAAACTAGCTTTTCCTTCTCATTTCTCTTCCCACCTTCACTCACTTTGATCCTGTGTCGTCATTCTTCCCTCCCCAGCTGATGTAGTAAAGACATCCACAATTAAAAAGAGGAGCCAACCACCATTCAAATTATCTTTTTGTTTTCAATAACAGAAATTTTTTGCCTTTTTGACATTAATGGCAATTTTGAAATATAGGAAAGACTGGCAATTGGCCAAATGAAAATTGATTTATTTTATTTAAATAAATTTGCCTCCTCAAGCATCAAATCCTGCAGTTTCCAAAAATAAATATTTTTCTTATCAGACTTTCTTTGAAATTTTTACCTTTAAGCTCATTGGGGAACTCCCTTATATTTTGTGGTCAGTTTCATCAATAAGATGGTAGAGGGAAGTCTGCAAATTTTCATCTCTTTTGCATATTCTTTTCTTGCTTATTGGAAAAATAATTTCCAGAAGTATCTGGCCTAACTCATGTGCCCTAAAATTCAGTTGCATAGTAAATAAAGCATGCTTGTAAACTCTAAAGCATTTCAATGGTTGTTTTCTGAAACTAAGATTTAGCATGATTGAGAGATTCATAATGACTTTTTAAAGGCTTAATCTTTACTACTTGTGCAAATATGATATTGGCAGCAGTCATTGTATAGCACTGGACGGGGAATCAGGAGACCTGGTTTCTAATCCCTGCTGTCACTAACAAGCTGTGTGATCTTAGGTAAGTCATTTAAACTCTATGTCCTTAGCTTTGATATTTACAAATCTCCTGAGATCCTTGTCAGGATTTAAAAATAAATACGAAAATGTACTGAAAAATTGTAAGGGTATCTTTAATAGCTTAACTGTTTGTAGTCATGGGTCTCTTTACTAGTGTGGCATCCTCAATCTTTTCTACCAGTGTCATAGAAGTAACCAGTTTATATAATAAATAAATGTCTTTTAGGCATGTTACAGTTTTGTAATATAATCATCTGTGTGTATATAAATATGCTTTGGGGTACTAATAAAAATCATCTATTGTTCTTATTTGCTTTATTGTATCTACTGCAAACATTTGTCATTTTTTTCATAAATTGTTTTCATTATTTCTCCCAACTTAGGTTTGCTAGAAAGCTTTACTTTCTTATTACAGTGTAATGCATTTGCACATGTGCACAATTAGCTTATACAAATTGATATATGTTTAAAAATATTTATTTGTACTATGTTGTTTCAAAACATAAATTGCCTAGTTTATCTTTTGCTTAACCAAAAAAACAGTAATTGTTTAAAATCTGAAAGTGGGTGGACAAGTAATATAAAATATACAAAATCATACTTTGAAGAGCAGTATAAGGATTCTTAAAAAGGGTAATTTTGACCACGTGCAATTTTCATTTGCTGATTTTAATGTCAGCCTGTATAAGATACAACCCAAGTGTAATTTTAAATAACTATTTAAGCTGTTGGCTAGAATATGTTAGATTGCTATTACATTACTGATTCTATCTTGTAGTAGTTATTATCATTAAAAATTATACTTAAGCCTACACTGTAAAAACAAGTTCTGATATATAATCTTAGCAGCCCCTGTTGTTCTGATTTTATGTGAGGTGTTGCCATTATAGAAGCAGTCTTATTGCCTTGTAAACTCTACGGAATTTATACAGTCAAATGAGTGGTATCTTCTCCTACTCTGACGCTAAAAAAAAAAAGTGATCATCTTAGAAAGCTATAAATTTGGTCTAGTAATGTTGCCATTGATCAAAAGAAAATGGTATTGTGTTTTTGGAATTACTTTCAGAATTTACAGCACATTTTGGAATATTTTTAATGATAGTTAATTTTCATCTTATGAAATTGAAATTCCTTTTTGGAAACTGCTAACAATCTTTTATAACTGAGACAGGTGAATTAAATGGATGTTGAAGCTACTTTTGGGGATAAAAAGTGAAGTGTGATTATGTTCATATTTTTATTTTTCTGATACTTTGTTTTATTAAAAAACAACTCCAAGAACATTCTGTGCTGTGGTGGATATGCTGGAATAATCAGCTTCATGAGGTGATTTCTTTGAAGGAAATAGAGCTCATTTCCATATGTAAGCTCTTACATATGTGTTATGAGGTCAGTCTCATTACATTGTGATCATATTTCTATTCCCTAGCAACCACAGAAGTACATATGCATTGCTGATTTACTGTTTTTCTGGTTATCTTACCTGTCGCTAATTGTTCTTTTAATATATGCTTGTGATAATTTTAATGGAATTCACCCTTTTCTAAATTAGAAACTGATGGCTTTTGTTTTCCTTCTCAATGCCATGACACTTTATTTTTTTCACCTGACTACATTATTGGATTGTTAGTAAGTTTTCCATTGGATTATATTGTACCTTGAACTTTAACAATGGCTTATTATAAAGCTATTACCATTTTACTGGAGAATAGAGAGGCTACAATCTTAGTGGACAGGTTATCTCTCAATTTTGCACTGTCTTTTGTTCTGTCTCTTACTACTTTTTTACTTTCCTCGTTGTGAATTGATTGATCCTATATAACTCCACCTCCAAGATAAATCATCATGGTAATCCCATCCTACTTTTTCACCCTGTATCCTTTTTTTCAGAATACAGTTTTTTCATACATTTTTATTCACCCTCATTTCCTGAGCACATACCATGTTCTTTCTCAGTGGTAAAGTTTAGCCCTTACCATTCTTGCCTTCTCCAAATCCCTTTTTCTTTCATTATTTCTGTTAAAGTATAACCAGTCCTTCAGAATTGTATCAGATCACATCTTCATGTGAAGCACTTGCCTCTGATCTTCCTACATCTTTACACATTGATCACAGTTATTCTTATCTCCTATTTGGTACTAAATGAATATTACCATGAATTTTTCTTAATTATTACATGTGTGTATGTTTTAGTTCTGCATATAGATAATAATCTTCTGAGGGGCAAGCTTATTTCTTTCTTGTGTATTCCTTTCAGCACAACATATAGTATAATTCAGAATAGATGCTCCTATAATTATTTCATAGATGCTCAGTAAACTATTTGTTGAATTACTGTTCTGCCATCTTCACTCAGATATTTCATGTGATTTGTGAACCATTTAATAAAGTCAAATAAATGTAATTTGTTCCATATATGCATTCATTGCTGTAATCTGGTTATCATTGTTATATTCCTAATGACTTTATTTTGTAGAAGCTTAAGTGAAAATGGTACATGTTAGAAGACATGAAACAAGGAAAAATTCTAAAACTCAAGTGCCTGAGCAGAAATCTCGAGTTGATTGGAGGCGAACTAAAAGAAATAGTATCTCACAGTTATTAGATAGTGATGAAGAGCTTGAGAGTGATGAAGATCTGGAGAGTGAAGAGCTTGAGACTGATGAAGAGCTTGAGAGTGATGAAAGTGTTGATAATAATGAAGGCTTTGATAATGAAGAACTTGGTGGTAACAAGGGGCTTGTTAGTAATAAAGCACCAGAAAATAAAAGAGAGTTTAAATTAAGTAAAGTTGAAAGTGAAGGGAATGACAGTAAGGATCTCATTAACTCTGGCAACAGTTCAACATATGAAGAAGAAATGAACAAAGCAAGACATAAGAATGTTGATTTACCAGATCAGGAAAAACATCCAAGTCAAGAGAATACTGATCTCAGCACACACACTGGCCAAATAATAGAGGAGGATTTAGAAGAAGAACACATCAAGCGAGGGAAAAGAAAAAGGATCTCTTCTGTGATGTATGACAGCGATGAGAGTGATGACAGTGATATCCTGGTTAGAAAAGTAGGTGTGAAGCGTCCACGTCGAGTGGTTGAAGATGAATGCTCTTCAGTGGAAATGGAGCAAAATAACCCTGAGAAAACATTAGCTGCACGAAAGCGAGAACAGCTCCAGAAGCTGAAAGAACTCTCAAAACAAAGATCTCGTCAGAGACGCAATAGTGGTAGAGATTTTGAGGTGTGTTATATTTTGTTGGCTTTGTTATTGCTTTTAAAAATTTTTGCTTAAAGTATTTATTTTTTTTTCTAAAAATCAAAGTGCTGAGTCTTTTCTGTTTCTCACTAATACTAGATTTTTAAATCAAGTATCCTTGAACATGTTTGATTACACTATTGGATCTAATATATTGTTTTATCATGAGCCTCAGTCCATCAGCCTTTTTTTAAATTGAAAGACTGTTGTTTTGGATGGTCTTTCTTGTTTTCAACTTCTTTCGATCTTAATGTCCATTTTAAACATTTTATGTTGCTTACCAAAGGTATATTGTCTTCTTCCTGATTTTAAAAGTTCAACATTTAACATAACAAAATTCTTATACTTTTAACCTTAAAATATAATTTCTATGGATCATTTTTTTGCTTTCAGATTTTAATGTCATGTTTATACTGACCATTCTAGAGGCACAATTTACTGAAACATTTATTTTAATTTAATTAGGACTCTGAAAAGGAATCTTGCCCAAGTGGTGATGATGAAGAGGACGATGATTATGAATATGATGAAGATGGAGATGATTATATTATTGATGACTTTGTAGTGCAAGATGAGGAAGGTGATGGAGAGAATAAAAACCAACAAGGAGAAAAGTTAACTACATCACAACTGAAATTAGTAAAACAGAATTCCCTTTGTAAGTTAAATATGAAGAAAATGTTTTATAACTTGTTCTTATTATATCAAGTAAAATCAGTTTTTTAATATCATTGCTTAGGAACTATGGTTTCATTTTCAGAATAACTGTGCTTTACCCAGATAGGTATCTGGAAAAAGGAGGAGTATTTTATTTTATTTCTTTTTTTGAGACAGAGTCTCGAGCTGTCACTCTGGGTAGAGTGCTGTGCTATCACAGCTCACAGCAACCTCAAACTCTTGGGCTTGTGATTCTCTTGCCTCAGCCTCCCAAGTAATTGGGACTATAGGCACCTGCCACACCGCCTGGCTAATTTTTTGTTGTAGTTGTCATTGTTGTTTTTAGCAGGCCCGGGCCAGGTTTGAACTCATCAGCTTCTGTGTATGTGGCCGACGTCTTACCCACTGAGCTACAGGCACTGCCAGGGAGGAGTGTTTTAAATAGTATTTTCAAAATAATTGTGAATATTCTCATTTGATACGACTTCAAAATTTGGCAAGTGATACTTTGGTTAAGCTTAGTTGTAATATGCAATCTGAAACCATACGAATGAACTTTTAGTATTCACATTGCAATCCATTGGTGTGTCTTGCAGTTTAAATGGATCTTTTTTAACCTTGAGTGATTTTGTGATATAATGCATTGGTCACTGGGAAAATATTGGTTCACTGGGTTATGTAGATCCTCCAAATATGGACATATTTCATTATATAATTTTTTTAAAAACCACATTCATTAATATCCATACCAATCTCATCAGACTATTTCTACAGTATTGGGACAGGCACACTTTCTTCTTTTTTGGGAAAATGTCTGACAGATGCCCAGGTCTGAACAACTAGAGTTTGGCAGTCTTTCTTTCAGATAAAAATGGTGTTTCATGATAAATGAGGCTTTGCCCCAACTCAAACAGTTGCATAAGTGTTTTTTCTTCAGAACAACTGTAAGTGTTTTATGCATTCTTCCCTTCTCATTCATAGAATACTGAAAGGATATATATTTAAGGTATAAGATTTAATAAAATAGTTTTTGACACTTCATTAAGGACATTTTTAAGTGAAAATGCCTTTTTAAGTGAGTACAGAGTAGTTTTGAGATAGTGATTGCTGATAGCTTTGTGCTGTTGCCATGATTCATGGTAAGGGGCCAGATGCTTCACCTACTTTTGCTTTTATACCATCAGCAAAAACATTATCACAGTGAAAAGAACAAGTAAATAATATTCTTATTTTGCTGCGACATTACAGATCCATTTAAATAGACTTGGGGACTTCTGGAAGTCTGCAGATAAACACTTTGAGAACCAGGTTTTATTGGGTCTTTTAAAGCTTCATTTGAACAATGAAATATATCAAAGATAAGAAATTAGAATCTTTATATTTTTACATAACTAATGAGTATATAAATAACAGTACCTGAAAATACAGGATATATTTAAGTATGTATTATTATTCTGATTCTTATAATTGTACGTAATTTCAAAGATTGCTTTTACAACTCTGTTGTTTAATACCTCTTGTAGCCACAGGCCATGGTACATTTTTAATGTTTTCTTCAAGATTGCATTTTTTCAAAATATTTTATAAAAGGTCATATTTACTAAAATTAAGTGACACATGGCTTGATTTAGATCTCATGATTTGTATTAAAATAGATTGATGTATGACTCAAATTGCAATAAATTTAGCAGTTATACAGATGCCAGTTAGTCATCTGTATGCTTCAAATTAATGACTATTTTCCTTATATTTATAGGCACTGGCTTACCTGAATATTTTAATCACAGGGACAGTTAAATGGGAGGCATCTTGTCATTCTGTACTGTATACCTAGAATGTGATAGAACATTTGCTAAGAAATACCCATTATACCCATTCGTACCTACTCCTGCTAATTAATGGAAATGAAAGTCTAGCAAATGGGAACTACAACTTCCTTCTCTATCTTATGTTTACTTTTGTTTTTTTAAACAAAGTTTTGGATTTACAGAAATACGGAGTGGTAATTACGGAGAGTTCACATATACCCCCTTACAAAGTTTCCTCTATTTCTAACCTCTTGCATTAATTTGGTACCACTGTTATAATTGATGAGCCAGTATTAATACCTTATTATTAATTGTAGTTCACAGTTCACATTGGGGTTCATTTTTTTTGTTCTACCTTTTGTGGGCTTTGATATGTATAATGACATGTATCCACCATTACAGTATGATACAGAATAGTTTCGCTGTCTTAAAATCCCCTGTGCTTTCTCATTCGCCCTTTCTCCCTCTCCTCATCCCCTGGTGGCCACTGATCATTCTGCTGTGTCTGCAGTTTTGCCCTTGCCAGTTTGTCATGAAGTTGGCATCACACAGCATTTAGCATTTCACGCTGGCTTCTTTCACTTACCAATATGCATTTAGGCTTTCTCCATATCTAAGTATGCTTGATAGTACATTTCTTTCTATCACTGAATAATACTTCACATGGGGATATACCACAGTTGTGTTTAACCATTCGCCTGTTGAAAAACTTGGTTGTTTTCTAGTTTTAGCAATTATGAGTAAAGCTTCTATAAACATTCATGTTTAGGTTTTTTTTTTTTTTTTTTTT